AATAAGCAAGGTTGCCTCATTCCTTCTAGAATTATCGATAATTCATTAAGGATAATTGGAGGAGTTGAATCCTCACAAGGCACCCGTCAAAAACGCTGGTCGGGCTGTCATTTTTCGTCAAGTTCCCCCCATTGCGTCGCTGATTTAATCATGGTAAGAGGATGGGTTTTCTTGCTTCTCAATTAACACCTTAAGCTCTCTGTCTCATGTGGTGAATAATCATGTGCAAATAGACTAGAAAGGTTTGACATATATATGGAGAGAGCATTTTTATAAAAAGGAGTAAGGACTTGACCCCCCTTCTTCATTTTCCTTAAGGAAAATGTTTTTTTCCTTTCAACTTAGTGAAGTAAAAGGAATTTCTTATGTGTTTAGGAGCTCACCTAGGGGGCTTATGCTTGTCAAAATACGATTTTTCCCGAGTTTGAATTTTCGGCAGCCCAGACTTAAAATCGGTGCCCCAGACGACTGAATTCACGCCGATTTGGGATACGCCCTAAATGTAGGACAAACTTTCTTATAAACTGTGTATCCTTTACTTGTCTTTTTATTTAATTTAGGGTAAATACTATATATTAGCCACAACTATTAAGATGCGGAAAATTATAGCTACAACTATCGAAATATAAATTAGGGCTAATACCATTAGGAAACCCGAACTATTAACTTTGTGCCATTTGTGTCCTAAAGTATTCGATATGAAAATTTTGTCCCAACGTTTGGTAGTTTTGTGTCATTTGTATCCTGACAGTTTCGTTGACCGTTAAAAGTAACGGTTGACTAGATAGACGGCCATTAGGTCATCTTCCGAAGCTTGCGTGGCACACTCCTGTTGGCAACGTAGACGACACATAGGCAAACACGTCATATTTGTAATTCTGATTTAAAATAAAAAAACCCTACCTTTTAACCCTCTTCATCTTCTTTGTAGCTCCTCCTCTATTTTTCAAACTTCTTCTTTGCGAGAGCTGGGTCAGCGCAAGCAGAGGGCAGAGGAGAGACTGCGATAGCTCCAACGCGTCGGAGTGGCGACGACGTTGGGTTTCATTAACGCGGAGCGGCGCCGATTCGTGGTGACTTTGGTATTCATTGAGGCGAGGATAGTGGTGCGACGACGTGCTTCGGAAAAAAATTGTCGAGGAAACCAGGTGAGTATATATGTTGGGTTGTTTTAGGGTTTGATGTACTTGGTTATCATTCTCCATAATGAATGGGTTTTGTGGCAGCAATTGAAACATGTCGGGAAGGAGATTCGGCCAAAGCACTTGTGACTCCAATTCTTCCAACTCTCGAATCATGAAGTGTGGGCATAATATACTAGCAAAGTCTTATGTTTCAGGGACAGAACTCAATCCGGGGAGGGGATTCTTTTGTTGCCATATTGGAAGTTAATTTAGGCATTATTTGTTTAGTTGGGGGATTTTATTCGCAAAGAACAGCTTACTTCATCTTGATTTATTTGTCAGGAGCCTTCAAAAAATTGTCTATTCTGACGTTGGGTGGATCAGCGTAATGATGAAGAGGAAACACCTAGCTCCAATGTGATTGTGGCAGATGATGAAGACATTAGGACGAAGTATGCTTCGATGGAGATTCATGTTACGAGCTTGAAACTTGTTGAAGAGAAAGTTGAGCGAAGGAAGCAGGCTAAAAAATGTTTGCTTGATGATTTAGTTAGCATTAGGGAGGAAAACACTAGGCTGGTTGGGGAACTGAAGTTGGCCAATGCTCGTTTCTTGTTTGTTTTGTTCCTTTTTGTAGGACTGCTTGTAGGCATTGCCATTGCAGGACTGAAATGAAGTATGCAAATGCACATCTATTCTATAACTTATGGCTCGAGTTTATTTACGATGTTGGCAAACAATCATGTTTCTGTATGTTATTGAATTTGACGTTGAGGAATTCCCTTGTCTTTATGATAAGATTCTGACAGTAAGTAAACAACGATAGCGTCATCTTACAAACATACCATTCAAACATCCTGAAATTGTTCGACATAAGATGATCAATATCATAGTCTGAACCATACACATACATAATTGTGTTGGTCAGTTACAAAGGCTGCCATTGCCTAAAGTTACCCCTCAAATGAATCAGGAACTTTTGGCTCCCTTCACTAGGGAGGAAATATGGGAAGCATTAAAAATGATGGCACCCACCAAAGCACCAGGCTCAAATGGGATGCCAGCTCTCTTCTTCCAAAAGAACTGGGCAGTGGTTGGAGATACAGTCTGTCTGGAATTACAAAGAATTCTGATAACAGGCCAGATTCCCCTATCACTAAATCATACTTTATTGGCAATGATTCCAAAGACTCAGAAGCCAAGCTCCCCTAAGGAATTCAGGCCTATTGCACTATGCAAGGTACTACATAAAATCCTATCTAAAGTGCTTGCAAATAGGCTAAAGAAGATCCTAAATGAGGTGATAACTGAGACTCAGAGTGCTTTTTCTCCTGGAAGGAACATTACAGATAACATTATGGTGGGTTTTGAGTGCTTCCATGCAATGAAGAATAGGAAACAAGGGAAGAAGGGGTATGTTGCAGCAAAACTGGACATAGCAAAGGCATATGACAGGGTAGAATGGACTTTCTTGGAGGGGATTATGCATAAACTAGGATTTCATGAAGATTGGGTCCAGTTGATAATGCAGTGTGTGTCTACTGTGACCTATGCTGCGTTGATAAATGGACACCAGACAGCTCTCATACAGCCAACAAGGGGATTAAGACAAGGGGACCCTATTTCCCCCTATTTATTTCTGCTCTGTGCTGAAAGTTTGTCTGCTTTAACTAAAAAAGCAGTGGAGGAGGGGAAGTTGAAGGGAATAAAGGTGAGCAGTAATGGCCCTATGATCACTCACCTATTCTTTGCAGACGATAGTATATTTTTTTTTTGAAAACAAGAAGGAAGAGGGTGAGGTGGTGAGGGATATCTTAAGCACCTATGAGAAAGCTTCGGGGCAGCAGGTCAGTCTGGCCAAATCAGAACTTTCTTTCAGTACAAATGTTTCGGATTTAGACAGACAGGAGATGGCAGAGATCTTGGGCATGAAGACTGTCATGTATCATGACAAATATCTAGGTATGCCTACTGTGATTGGGAGAGCAAAAAAAGTTGTGTTTTCTCAGCTTATTGATAGAGTACGAAACAAGATAAAAAATTAGAAAGGAAAACTTCTTTCTAATGCAGCTAAAGAGGTCCTCATTAAGGTTGTTGCCCAAGCGCAAACACTTTATGCCATGTCAGTGTTTTTAATCCCTCAGGGGGTTATTCAGGAAATTCAGAGCATGATTGCAAGTTTCTGGTGGGGAAAGAAAAGGGAAGAAAAAAGGATACATTGGATGAGCTGGGAGAAGCTGTGTCGGCCTAAGTATGAGGGTGGGATGGGATTTAGAAACCTTCATGGATTCAATATTGCTCAACTAGGGAGACAGGTATGGAATATTCTACAAAATCCCAACACCCTAGTAGCTCGTGTATTCAAGGAAAAATATTATCCTCACTGTGATATCATGGATGCTGAGGTTGGTACTAACCCAAGCTATATCTGGAGAAGCTTGATGCAAGCTCAAAGCTTGGTTAGAGAGGGAACAAGGTGGAGGATAGGTGGATCCCAGCAGCTGATGATTTCAAAGTTCAAACTCAGGTTAATGGTTTGGGAATAATGGAAATGGTGTCGAAATTAATTGATCAGGAGACTCGATCTTGGAAAAGCAATCTTCTGCAAGCAAATTTCCAACCAACAGATCGAGACCGGATCAAAAAAATCCCACTCCCTTTCAAGCCGAGGCCAGATGTTCGAATTTGGGGTAATGAGAAGTCTGGTAAGTATTCTATCCGCTCTAGTTACAAGGAATAGAGGAGACGATATTTAAGCAATCAGGTAGAGAGCTATGTCCCTATTGATTGGAAATAACTATGGACGCTGCAACTACCTCCTAAGGTATGAGTTTTCGTGTGGAGATGGTGCAGTAATATCCTTCCTACGGGGGCAAATCTAAGTAGAAGAATCCCAGAGGCATATGACGAATGTCCCTTTTGCGGGTTGGTAGAGACGCAAGAACACATTACAAGGGATTGTGACTGGGTGGGAAGAGTATGGAGACCAAGTTATCTGGCGAAGTATTTCCAAATGGGAGAAGGGAAGAAGTGTGAGGAATGGCTATGCAATCTGATTGAGGGAAGACTGAGGAGGAACTTTCTATGGTTCTGATTACCCTATGGTTTCTCTGGAAAGAGAGAAACAACCATCTATTCAATAATCATAAGCTTGAGGAGTGGGAGGTGGTGATGAGAGCACATAATTACATGGAAGAGTATCAACAATTGTAGAAAGGTCCAGAACCGAAACCTCAGCCGTCGCCGATTCGAGCTGTCTGGGAACCTCCGCCTCAGGGACTGTTCAAGATGAACACAGACACGGCAGTGCTGGGAGAGGAGGGAACGGGTTTCGGGATGGTGAATCGAAACGGGGATGGAACTTTTCAGATGGCAGCGGTGCATCGGACGAGGACGAAGTGGCCACCGGAGACGGCAGTAGCACTCGCCTTCCTATGGGGTTTGAAATTGGCAAAAAGCCATGATTTCGTGCCTTTGATTGTGGAAACGGATTGCAAATCGGTGGTTCAGAAGTTGGATAGAAGGGATTCAACGGTTTGGGAGATTGGTAGGATCTGTGATGAAATCAGAGAGTTGGCGGATGAAGATGGAAATGTGAGATGGAGGTTCTGGGGGAGGACTGGGAATGAATGTGCACACCTCTTGGCCCGTACCCGATGCCGGCCAGAAGAGACCGAGATATGGTTCAACCGGGCCCCTATCTTTCTTATACCTCTTTTATCTAAAGATGGCATTGTAGTACCTGAACTTTGATAAATTTCAATACAGATTTTCTTGTAAAAAAAAAGAGAGAATATTATCTTGACGCTCATATATCAAGAAAATTACCTAATGGATCATGTATAAAGTGACAATCTAGAAGATTTGTTAAAAGACTATCAATGACAATATCTGAAAATTTTTTTCATAAAACTAAACTTTAGCGAGTTGAAGATATGAGCAAATGTTGTCACGAGAGAGAGAGCATAGGCGCACTACACTTATTTTTCCTTGTCCATGATTTTTTTCATAAGATTTTTCCGGTAAGGTTTTTAATGAAATAGTCTCAAATAGGGGTATGCGATAATTATGTACTCTACCGTTATATCCCATATTATTTTTCCTAGTAGAATTTTAAGGAAGCATATTCTAAATTAAAGGATATCCAAGAAAGAGTATTATGAAATAATGGAGTATCATTGATATCCATTGGGATGAGATACTATGACAACCCACCTCATCACCATTGGATACGCCCTCTCTCACGCAGCCATCCACCATCACAGTAGTCCTCCACCGCCGCAGCCCTCCACCGCCAGCGTCGCCACCCCTGTCTCCCGCAACAGCACTCCACCGCCGTCGTCTCCGCAATCCTCAAGTTCCCTCCACCACCTGCCGTTGCAACTCTCTCCCGCCGGCCCGTCGCACCGTTCCCTCCCACCAGCGCGGCGCAATCATCCTCTTCCCGTCGAAGCCCTCTCGCCGCCCTTCGTCTCCCACCACTACCACCGTTGCGAGATCACCCTCTTCCCCTAACTCTCTCTCCCGTCACCGACTGCCCCTTTCTAGATCTGGTTTTTTTTCCGACTAGTGGTACCATTTTTCTTCTGGTAGCGTACCACTACCGGCTACCAGATGTTAGTGGTAGCGTTGTACTGGTACCGTACCACTAGAAAAAATCATTATCACTAGACTAATGGACTGGTACACCTTTTAATGCACTGGTATATGTTTGCAGGTTGCCAAAGGGAGTCTGCCTGAGAGATTTCGCTGGAGGAAGTCTGCTAGAAGGATTTCACCGGAAAAAAAGTCTGCACGTCGAAGAGAATTGGTTGTTGGTAAGGAAGAGAGATATAAATATATTTTATTGTACGATTTAAATTTCAAAAATAGCCTTGTATTTAATGTGGATTTTTAATTCCCAATGTAATTAATACAAAATAAAATAATTAATATATGCTTATTTTTTGTCATGCCCAAAATGCCCTTGATTGCCAATCTGACAACCGCCAAGGAGGTTGTCACCACTCACCATATCTGCTCCTATATCCATTGGGTTATATCCCATATTATTTTTACATACTTAATGCGACATTATGAGCTATTTACATCCATACATACATTGATCATGATAATAAATTCTCTTCATAGCTCACTAGCTCACATTCAAGTACATTGATGATAGAAAATGGAATCGTACAAATGTAGAGGATGTATAAGATTAAGAACCCCTCTCCTCTTATATTGCGTCTTTTCCTCCTCTATGCTCTTTTCTTGCATTTGTTTATCTTTCCCTTATTTATTTTTCATTTTTAATGGAAGGTCAATAAAGTTATATTAATTCGCCCATTTTGTCTGACAGTTGACAAACCAGTATTATCATTACAGCAAAAAGGGTACCAAGCGTGGATCTGTGCGGCGTGGAAGAGCAGTTCGAGCTCCCAGACCTCTGCACCCAGCACCTGCCTGCAATAATATCACCATCCCAATGCATAGAGAGCGATTACACGTTTGCATCGATTAACAACATTAGAATCATATGACAATGATTCCCTTTTCTTACGAGAGAAGAAAAGATCTTCCTTTTTTCCTTTATATTTCCTCATGGATTGATTTTGACCAAGAGCAGAAGTAAACTCAGAACTCACCACTTGAGCAGCAAAGGGCAACATTCGCTCCGGTGGCATGTTGGCGCAGATGGCTAAATTTTAAAAGAAAAAATAAGAGGATCAGTGAATTTTCATGTACTTCAAGAGTTCCCAACATTATTCAGTCAAGAAAGATGCATGAAAAGATGGGTTCGAAGGGTTGAGAGTTGAGACTGATGGCGACACCATTGATAAGAAAAAGGTAGAGATAATGAACACGCAAGGCATTCGAGATTTAGTAGGGATGCAATCATGCAATGAAGCTAACTCGTTCGACAATCAGCTCTATATTAATCAACTGGCACATGAACCGAGCGCAATCCAAAGTTTGTTTGGCTTGCTAGACTTGTGAGCTAACTCGGTTCGTCGATTCATTGAGCCAGGCTCACAAGCTAGCTTCATTGAAGCTCGCAAGTCAGCTTGACTGTGGGGTTCACAAGCCAACTCAACTAATTGCTCAGTATATAGCTCCTGGACTAGCTTACTAACAAAGGTCATAGGTTGTTACACTATATATCTTTCAAAGAAACATAAAAACAAAAGTAAAAGAAAGATAAAGATAAAGATAAAGAAAAACAAGAATAAAAATTTGTTAACATGAATCTTATCAGTTTCGCAAAAAGCTAAACGACTTAGATGGGTTTGCTTTGGGACCGAAAAAGCTTGCAAGCATGTGTTTACACTTTACGTTAGAAACCCATGTATATGCACTGTTACTAGATTGCTGCAAATGGAGCATGAAACATGACCAGAAGAATGCAGGCAGGGTGTGCATACTAACCAAGAGGAAAACACATGCTTGGAGACAGACACGTACCATAAAGTACCGATCCAATAAACGCATCCCCAGCACCAGTTGTATCAAGAAGTTCAGCTGGCGGTATCTTTTCAGCAGTCCCCACAAACATTCTGCCGCTGATGGTGCCGATTCCTTTTGCTCTTATCCTAGTCAGCGGCTGACATCCAACAATAACAATATTGATCTTATAACGAGACAGAGAACATTTATGTTTAAAAGTGGAATGTGCTCCAATTCACAAATCAGCAAGCAACAATAGTCCCATTGTATTAACTTGGTTCACTATCAAATTAGCAACACAAACGTAATGTGTGTTACCACCAGAGCAGACATTAGACCCAAACAAATTCAAACACGAATAGCACTTCCAAGTTTTATATGTGCTCTGTATTGCGTCTATGATCTCGCTAAAATGTCACACAATTAGCATGGTCCCCAGTTTATTATTGTTTGGGAGGATGTTGCATAAGCCCATTGGTGCTGTGCTATTCGATCTACACCTTAAGTGTATAAATAAGCCGCATTGCCAGTAGTTACGTTCAAGTAGCATTAATCAGCAAGAAGACTGTCATAATAAATGGCAACATCAGAGGATAACGGACTTTTATAGTTGTGAATAGTCATTGAAACCATATTACAACTTCGTCTATGAACGCATTTGGACAATGCAAGCAGCCACTTTAATGTCCTCATAGGTGCGAACTAAGAAGCCATTCAAATTTAATCAATGAGCATTCCCATTGTATCCTCACCATCTCATTGTCTCTTCTATCAAGATCAGCTTTCAATACTGCCTTTAATTGAATGACTCAGGATTATGAAGTGACAACTGCTTACGGGCTTTGACAGGGACCCAGGCAAAAAGACAAAATGTGTGGGACATCTGCCCTGTGCCCACACTAATTCCTAAGATCAATTATCTGCAATTATAATATAACAGAGCTCAGGTTGCACATACCGAAGAAATACACGTTGGTATGACTGTTCCAACATTCTTTCGGTGTTCCAGTGACTCCAGTAAGCTATCTACATCAATCTCTTCAGATAAAGAAACCTCTACATAAGAAAACATTAGAAGAGTGAGAAAAATCCTGTCATGAATTAAATAAGAACAGCACCTTTTACTACTGACTAGTTTCTGGGCTAATTTTTTTAAGACAAGGATTGCTCCCACGTTTCAATCAGAGCAGCTAATCCTACACTCACCATCTGAACATCTTTCAAGCATTATGCATCCATCTTCACCCAGGGTTACAATAACAAATTTTAGCTTAGGGAGTCTTAAAAGCATAGCAACAAGGGCACTTGGAATGGTTGCTGCCTCAGTCCATGCCTGTCAGGTAAGCAATCTGTATGTTAAACAAAACTTCCCATAATGTTCACTTTATTTCAGATTTTATTTATTATATAGTGGAAAACATAACAAACAAAGGTCTACAAAAAATTAGTGGGCAGCCGAGATACAATCTGGGCTCCCACTCCTTTAGCTATAGCAAAGCTAAGTCGAGTAAAAATGTACGAAGCTGCTCGAGCCCCCACATCCTGTGACATGGAGAATTTCTGGATCCGCTTGAGTAGAGCCACAGCATCCCTATCCAACTCTCCCAACGAAGAAAAGGAAAAGGGCAGGAAACTATAACCTGGCAAGTCATTTTCTGAAGTATTGAGCAAAGGGAATCAAGGTTTGAACAAACCAATTGCTTACCTGAGGGAATTTGGCTGAGCATACAACATAAGTAGCCAAGTTAACAAGGTCATCTAGCCCTTCTCTTTTCTTTTCTGCATCAATCAGAATAGGTATGTTCTTGCGAGTTGCCTGTACTGGAAATACCAAACTAATGATTTAATTGGTTATACCACAAAACTGAAACATAAACATGCATCATAAAAAAAAAAAAAAACAAGAATAACAGGGGGAAGAAACACCATAAGAAATGATGATAGATTAAACTCATGCAATAAGGTTCCCATTACAGGCTCCTTGGTCAGAACAAATACTATACAAACAAAGCACATGGATTTCCAAATAAATCAACGAGGTGACCAAGAAAAGAATAGGGGAAGTAACAAACATTCATTTACTCCTGAAATTTAGAAAGCAATTAAATCTAGACTCCTGGAAGACTTTCTTTTTCCTCTTGCAAACGATAAAGTAAAAAAGAGGAAAAGGAAATCGAGCTATTCAGGAAGCGCCTTGCCAAGATCCAGGTATGTATACAGGAGGAGCCAATTCTTCATTATGTATAAACTCAGAGCACTTCTACTATGCTATATAGTATTGGTGCTTTAATGTACAATTTAAAGTTGTACCATAACATTAAATGTATAAGTTTAGGTTGTACCATAAAGCAATTTGTACCATTATGTTATGGTACAACTTTACAACTTGAAGTTGTACCATCACATAAAGGTACAAATTCAAGTTGTACCATAAAAGAATTTGTACAAAAAGTATAGGTACAATCTAAAGTTGTACCATAACATAAATGTACAATTTTAAGTTGTACCATAAAGGCAAAATCCTATAGCACCAATACTATATAGCATTGTAAAATTTCTCAGAAACTCAGCATTTGCCATTTTGGCCAAGAAGTACAATTGCAAATCCAGCTTAAAGTCATAGGGGATTAAGCATTTAATGGTGGAAAAAACAGGCTATTAAACTGTCAAATGTAGAAAGTCAAAGAGGGAAACATGTATCAGTCCTACGAAAAGAAAGAAAGAAAGAAAGAAAGAGGGGAAGGGAGGGGAGCACTAAGACCCATCAAATAGACCAGTGGGATACTGATAAGTATTACCTCTTGTGCAATAACTAAAGCAGTCTCATGCAACCTCCCATCAAAATAGACCAGCGTAGCTCCGTTTAATGCTGAAGATATACTGGATTGAGAAAGATCGTCCGGTATCATGGGGGGGTATCCCGGAGTATGAATGCAAGTTCGAGTTTTCCTGAGGATATCAATTATGATGTTCAATCAGTACAATGTAGTGGTGATTCCAGAATATAAATTCAATCCTTCTGTTTCTACCATGATTCCCATCTTACGTAAACGTCCAAATGAAACAGACTCACAAAGGATAAAGAACAACAAACATTCTCCTTTCTCAATGCTAGGCATGAAAACAAGGACATCATGCCCTTTTATTTCCTGGAAGAAAGTACATAGGTGACAAAAGAACTGCCTTACAGAAATTTATGACCCATGTTGCCCTGAAGATCTGAGATGAAATGTATAAAATCCTTAAACTAATAAACCAAGAAGGGAGATTCTTGAGCGATGATGCAGCAGCAACTCACGTTTGTTCGTCAACGATTACATACGTGAAGGGTGAATTGCCTTCTTTGGCGACCTGAACATGACGGATTATCAGTCAAGACATAATAGGCAACGTAAAGCAGGGCAGAGACCGTGCACCCTGCCACA